GCTATATAAATATATATATATATATATTTTTTTTATTTATTTATTTTTTCATCAGAATATTTTCGGTTGATACAATTTCAGTGCATTACTACAGTTAACATACAAAAAATGGTTTTATTTTTTATTTATTTATTTTTGTTACAATGATAATATAAAAGCCACTTGTTTAACATACTCGTAATACTCGTAATTACAGTGTCGTAAATATCCTGAGTATCTACGTTGGTTGCTATAGTAATGACATAATACTGTCAATCGATTAAAATATTTAATCGCAATTAAGCGCATGATTGTCATGAGTTAACTCGTGATTTATTTCAACTTAATCGCACATTTTTATCTTTTCCAAATGTACCTTAAATTAATACTTTTCAAGTGTTTAATACTCTAATCAACATGGGCATGGACAAATATGGATGCTTCATGCAAATGTATGTTTATTATTAGTGAAACCATACTCAACATAGAGCATGAAGACTAGACATGTTTCAAAGGTCATAGATGTTTTTCAAATAACTTGTTCATATCTATTAGACACATGAAAAAAATAACATAGAAATACCAGGTTCCCATTACCTCTCTTTCTTTGCACTGAGCAATTTACTTACGCAAGCCATTTTCGCACGACAGGGCAGCTCACTTCTTCTGAGCATGTGAAATATTTATCATTTATTATCACACTCCTTGTTTGCCTCTCTGTGCCCACATACTGTATTTTGATGCGGCTAAATTCTCAATAAAACGGTTTTCATTGTTATATTTTACTGTTTCTGTTGTCAGACAACAGAATGAATATGAAATAGTGACTGAAACGCGACCCATTAAAACTACATAACCAGCTCTCCCTTCCAAGATGTTAATCTCCACAAAAATCCTGATTTATAATCGAGCCGTCGCCTGATGAAATCAAATACACATAAGATAAAGACAATAGCTGTGCTGTGATTTCGACTATATTTGCTTGTAAAATTAAAGGGGTCATATGATGCTTTTTTAAAGATCATTATTTTGTGTATTACAGAATAATACACAATATGTTGACATGCTTTAATGTTCAAAAAACACATTATGGAGCTACAGGGAATGAAGCATCTCCTCCAGTTATGTCATTATGTCTCTGTGTGTGCACAAGTCTGTATGGCCTGAGTGTCCAGCAATGCCTGTTAAAAAAAAGAACAGAAGAAAAAGAGGCGGAAAGGACTAAAGTACTAGCAAAAATAGCTCAGAAAAAGCACCAGATACAAAGATGAATGGCAACAGCAGACACACTAAAATCCAAGGGAGGAAAAAACACACCGAGACAAGACATGAAGGGGGGACGGGGTAGAAGAGGTGACAACAACTAAGAGAGGATAGAGCGAGCAGGTGAAAGAAGAAGTAGTGTGACGCTCAAATGTGAATGTTCTCACGCTATGAATAATGGAGACGCTCACACACACTGCTGTGATGCCTGAAATTCTGTCTATTTCTAGACATAGGAAAAGATGAAATAAAAATATGCCATGTTTAATCTGCAACACTCTGCCCTAAATATAATTTTTTGGGAAGATGCTGAAATTTCTCGCCCACTCTTTGAGCTGACATTTATTGAAGAAATCTCTCTCTCTCCCTCTAGTAATATAGCCACAGACAAATAGACTGGAAAGAAATAAGGCAGTATTTGAGTCCGATATTCAGAGCCTTTTCACTGGAGCGCAAAGACCCAAATTAACAAATCATTTCGTTTGAGGACACGTCGGTCTAAGGAACAGGGTGTCACTGAGCAATTACACATATTCATTGTTCCATAATGAAGCTAAGTGTGATTCTTTGACTTTCCAATTAAAACTAAGTTGAAACAAGTGCATAAGGGAATGTTGATCGAACTACACCCTAAAACATCTTAAATTACACTGCAAGTTACACTGATCGCTTCCTAATGGTAGGTGGCATAGTTGGGAAAGTTGTTGAGATGTGGCCTGTAATTGTTGCAGATGGTGTGAGGTGGATTCTTGTTGCTAGGTGACATTAGTGCACAGTACTTATGGCTGCACATAAAGACCTCACATAATGAATCCATTTGCTTGATATGGCATTGTATTATGAGGCCATTTCTGCAGCAGGTTGTTCTGAAAAATGACAGTCTTTGCACTGTGCTTTGTAGACTTCTTTCCTGGTTTTCTAAGCACAGTTGATCCTATTTGCATAATCTATTCACAACATCGGCAGTTACTTACCGAGTCCCCCTGCAGCAATGACCCATCCACCGAGATAGCCAGCTACGAAGTCCGCCCGCTTCTCTCTCATGCGACAGCTCCGCGTGGCCTTCAACCACACACCTGCACACAGGTGACATATCATGAAAATCTGACGTTTTCTTTCTTTTCAAGTGCTATAATCGGGACCCTGTGCATCTACCAACCCAGAAAACAGAACACTAGAGTCCCAGCCTCAGAGGAGACAAGAGAGCAGTTGATTTATTTACTGTATATTACGCTGCTGCCACACAGATCTAATATAAACATGTGATTTCTTTCCCAGTTGTTTACCTTCAATGACATGACCGACTGTTTTTGTAACTGTGTGTTGTGTGTTTTTAACAAACTTGTGTGTATTTGACAGTTTAAGCACAATAAGACATGAAAGAGAACTTAGCTTAGTACTCACATGCTGTGTGACAGCCACTTTCTGTGCGCGGATGTGTGTGCTCACAAAACATATATCAGAAGTTTAAGCTAACATGGTTTAAAATGCATGATTTCAGCGCAATAGACATGATAATCCAAACCAAACAGATGTTTTTTTTTAGCAGAGTATCCGAGGTACGAGCTGTAAAGGCACAGCCCTGTTCTGGAAAAGGGGCCAGGGAGCAGCAGCTCATTTGCATTTAAAGAGACATGCACGAAAATGGCGGGTTTCTTCTTCCACTCAAAAATCTGTGGGGTAATTTGAGCTGAAACTTCACAGACACATTCTGGGGACACCTGAGACTTATATTACATGTTGTAAAAAGGGGCATAATAGTTCTCCTTTAAGTACAAAAATGACTAAAACTAAAATTAAACAAACTTAGACTCTATATAGGCATATTTAAAAGTACAAAAACAAATAAAAAATGACAAAAACAACAAAATTAAAAAATTTAAATGAAGTCAGAAAATATAAAAATTCAATCTAATACAAAATATTAAAAAACTATAATAGTACATCAATGCATGGTCCAATTAGCCCTATTCACGTAGACAGACCTTTGGACTAATGACAGAAGGTCTAGAATCCATAGCAGCTTTCATCTGCCAATGACCACCCAAGAGGTCGTCTGGCCAACATGTAAAGCAATCTTGATAAGTGCTCATTGTCAGAGTTTTAAACATGATGGCTTTCTTATTCCATGAGAGAGTTTGCCATCACAATGGCTTTGTTTCCAGACAGACGTTTAAATGATATGACACACACGAATCCCAGAAATCCTGTAAAATCCAACCAATCAAATGACGATTTTGAAACTCGCAAAGAGTGTTCTCCGTTTTGTGTGGCTTATGCATTACACGTTCGGCCAATGGTCCATGGGCATGATGTCCTACAAATTTTATATATGTATACAGTACTGTGCAAAAGTCTTAGGTCATTAGTATTTTTACCAACAACAAAAAAGGTTATAAGCCAGTTATTTCTATCTGGCCTTAGGTTTCTTAAAGCGTCTTGGAGACATTGCCACAGTTCTTTATATTTTTTTTCTGTTTCTTCATGCAAAGCCAGATGGACTGTATGATAGTGAGATCAGATCTCTGTGTGGAGCACTGGCTGTTGTCAGACTCCTTGTGCACAGGGCTGGATTGGTAATCGGGTATACAGGGCATTATCCCGGTGGGCCGACACACTTAAGGGGCCGACAGAATGTTTTTTTTGTTTTTTTTTCAAGGACCATCAAGCAGGGACAGCGAGCAGCCAGTGGCCCATTGGACTGTCTCCCGTATTGACAGCGTAAACCATCCAATCACAATGCGCTATAGACGGAGCGATGAAGTATTTTGCTCTGCCTATATGATCGCTTCACTTCAACTTCTTCGTCATCAGCTTTTCCCACGTTTTCACAGCAGCTTTATCAAGAACAGGCTTGCGCTGCGGTGAGTGATGCAGGCCAAAGAGCCAGGCAGGAGGAGGAGAGGAGAGTAGTTGAATCGGTAAAGTGCTTGATAGGGACTCGCAGCGGAGGCAGACATCTAACCTATCCTAATGTGTGTGCATGCCATGAGTGTAGAATACATAACAGAAATGGGCACTCGAGTTAGTGACTTGGACTCGAGTCGCATTTTTATAGACTTCAGACTTGACTCAGACTCGACCTGAAATGACTCCAGACTTGACTCGAGGAAAAGGACTTGTGAATATTTTAAAAGCAACTCAAGTCTTTTACCCTTAAATACTTATATAACTGATATTCAAAAGGGGGACCACATCCGCATCCCGGCATCCATCCGGACCGCGAGCTGTAACAGCAGCACCATTTTAAGTGAGCAGCGCATCAAAACAGCGCAGCAGATCTCATAAGCGCTCAAGGTCGTTTATGGTAAATAACTTTCAGCGGGAT